TGAACAAAAATAAAGTGAATTACACCATTAAGCCACAGGTCCTAGTACTGGGAAAGCTGCATATTTGGGGTTTGAGGGACTCAGGGTCTCTGTATGATCTCAGGAAGCCTCCTTTCTTCTACCAACTGGTATTTCCACCTGTCTGAGTTCATTTCAAAGAGTTCTTGAGCAGCTGGAAGCACTCTTGGCCTTGATGATAGCAGGGGGAAGGGTGCAGAGTTTGAAAGGGTAACAAGAGGAGGGAGAGAGGGTCATCCTAGTAGAGGGACCACCCCACGTGAGAAATGACACATTTGACCTGGCAGGTCCTGAGGACAGTGAGTAGACAGCCTTGCTAAGCTGGAGCTGGTTTCTTCCTTTTGCCTTTGACTTGCTGCATAAAGTTTAGAGTTTTATGTTTAGTCAAAGTCCATAAACACCAAATCATCCCATCCATTGGGTTGATTGCTTTATAGAGTATAAACCTATTCCTTCAATGAACATTTACGTATGTGTGTAATCTGTGTGAACAAGAAGTGAATAGGGTAGTGCTGGCTACTCCATAGGACAGATGAGGAAATTACAGTGTGGGAAGGGCATATGCATACAAAAACACCAACGCCCAAATTTCAGTCTTTGGATTCCTAGACCAATTTTCTTTTAACTCTATTCTTCTTAGGCTCTTCTTTTTAAAGTGAGTTTTCAAAGCTGTGTGGCAGCAGGTTTTTTTTTTTTTTAATTTAAGGCTAATATAGGAGAACTCTGGTGGCTTAGTGGCAAGCACCTGCGTGGCAATGCTGACGGCACGTGGTTCGAGTCCACCACCTGCTCTGAGGAGGATGGGCAATCTCCTCCTGTGCGATCTAATGCCTCTGAAAATCTGCCACCGGGTCAGCTACGGGTTGGTTTTGACTTGATGATAAACAACAATAACAACAGCAACAACCATAGGACTAGTCTATTATAGTCTGTCTTGATGATAAGTCATTGGGAAATGATGAAGATGAGGTATTGTGTGAGTTTTACAAGAATGGTTTTAGACTCATATCGTCTGGGTTAAAATCTTGACCTTTACACTGTTATGTTTATTAAATAGATGAAGATTAACAATACTTGCTCATGGGACTATCATGAAAATTATATTAGTTATTCACATGAAGCACTTGTACAGTTCAATCCATGTTAGGACTTCACACAGCAACCTTCTCTCCCTTAAGTTTCCAAGGCTGTAAATCGATAGGGGAACAGATTGTGCCATCTTTTTTTCCAGGAGCAACTGGTGGATTCAAACTGCCAACCTTTTGATTACCAGCTCCACACTTAACTCACTACAGCAAGAAGTTATTGTTGTTGCTATGTACCAGTCTGAGCTGACTCATAGCTGACACCTTAGTGGGTTTTCAGAGGCTGTAAATTGCACTGGATACCTGGAGCAGGAGGCTGTTGTGCACATGGAGCAAGGGAGCACAACATGGTTTGGAACTGGGAAAGGAATGTATTCTGTCTCCATACCTGTTTACCACCGAGAAGAATGTTTGACAGAAAAACAATCTGAACCAGGCCTGAGGGCCACCGATTAAAATCACCCACCTTGTGCTTGGTAGCATAACTTTCTGTCCACTAGGCCAATGTAGCTCTCTCTGTGTTGTCATTGTTATTGTTGTTAGGTGCCGTGTAGAGTCGTAGATGACTCATAGTGACCCCGTGAACAGAAGGCCTGAGCACGGTTCATAGTTTCCAGAGGCAAGCTATTACAAAAGCGGATGCACTCCTGCGTCCAAGGTTGTTTTAATCGGGGAGCTCCATCAAACACTGTCCACCATGGGTAACCATTATCACATTTGGCACATCAGTGTCGAAGTGTTTAGCATCACCGCAACCAGGAGTTACTTCTGTAACAGCGATGCACAGACCACAGATACATACCTTCTCTCTTTTCCCTCCATGCAAAACTATATACTATGTTGCTTTTTTCCGTCCCTAGTCTTTTACAGTTAGTCCTGTAATCTCTGCCTTGCTCTCCAATAAGCATTTATTAATGCTGTCTTTATCGTGTTAGCAAACCACATACGGTTAATGATTATCTTATAATGAGAACTCATTGCAAATTTTGTATGAAATGAGTCAACCGATGAATTCAGGCACTGTATACTGTTTTAAGAACATTCCCACCTGGTGTCTTCTACCCATCCCTATTTTTAATTGGACAAGATTCAAGTATTTTATTAATACTTTTATTTGGCCCTTTAAAATTCTGGAGCTTGTGTTTGGATTCAAGAATTGGTGGCAAAGAGAAATAATAGCAGGCAGGTAAAAGCTTGTCATAGGCTCTGGCACTGTTAATGCTGTTACAATATGCCATCAACATATGTAAGGTTTGCAGCCACCTGGAAGCTATAAAAACCTATCAGATGAAAGCCATGTTCTTTGGTGTCTGCTTAAATCCAGATTTCTGTAGTAGTATAGCACTGGTCTGTGCATTGTTGTACAGAGGTTAACTCGTGGTTGCTGTGATGCTAAACACTGTGACACTGATGTGCCAAATGCAATAATGGTTACCCATGGTGGATAGTGTTTGGTGGAGCTTCCTGATTAAAATAAGCTTGGAAGCAGGAGTGGCATCCACTTCTGAAATGGCTTGCCTCCAGAAAGTCTATGAACAGTGCTCAGGCCTTCCGTTCATAGGATGGCTATGAATCGTCTACGACTTGATGGCACCTAACAACAACAACAACATACTTGTTCAATCTATATGCTGAGCAAAGCTGGACTCTGTGAAGAGGAATGTGGCATCAGGATTGGAGAGAGATTAATCAATAACCTGCATTATGCAGATAACACAACCTTACTTGCTGAAAGTTAGGAGGATTTAAAGCACTTTTTGCAGAAGCTCAAGGAATGCAGCCTTCAGTATGGATTGCATCTCAATTTCAAGAAAATGAATATTCTTACCACTGGACCAATAGGCAGTGTCATGAGGGAAGGAGAGGCGATTGAAACTGTCAACAGTTTCATCTTACTTGGGTCCACAGTTAATCTCCTTGGTACGAGCAGTCAGGAAATAAGGAGATGCATTGCAATGGGAAAAGGCTCAGTTAGGGACCTTTCCAAATTATTGAGGAGTAATGATATCAGTTTGAGGACTAAGGTGCATTTGATTCAGGCCATGTTCTTTCCGATTACTAGCTATGCATCTGAAACCTGGACAATGAATTAGGATGACAGGAAATGATAACTTTGAGCTGTGGTGGGAGAAGAGCACTGAATATCCCATGGATGGCCAAGAAAATGAATAGATAGATCTTGGAGAAGGTGAAGTCGAGTGATCTTTGGAGGCAAGAATGATGAGGCTTTGACTCACATACTTTGGACATATTGCTAGGAGGTGAAATCATTTTGGGAAGGGTGGAGGGTCAGTGAAGGAGAAGAGGACCCTCAACCAGGTGGATTGACAAGGTGACTGCTGTAATGGTCTCTTTTGTGTCAGACAGTGTGATGATGGCACAGGGTATGACTAGGTTCAGATCTTTCGTTTATACTCCACTTGACGCATCTAAAAACATAACAACATAACAACATCATCAACAACAACAAATTGCATTGGAAAAGATAACTCATCTTCTGTGGAGCAGCTGGTGGATTTGATGCCTTTGGGTTGGCAGCACAACTCCTTACCCACTAAGCCATCAGAGCCCTTTAGAAAGCCAAAGAGAAGTACAAAAATGTGATTTTATGGGAACAAAATACTCCTCCCATGTCCCAAATATTAGTTGAGAATTAACGCCATGATTTCTTTTCCCAGGTTAAAAAGGAGCTCTTGAGTGCTAGAAAGACTTAAACATTTGACTTCAAACTAAAGGTTGGTAGTTGGAACCCATTGACCCAGTAGTGCCTTAGAAAGCCTGAGGATTTGCTTTTCAAAGGTCGTAGTCTTGAAAACTTTATGGAGTAGTTCTACTTTGCACAGAAGGCATCGGTGAGTCAGAACAAACTCCATGACAACTAAAAACAACAAAAAAATCCCAGGTTCAAAGTAAAAAAATTGTAATATTCCATCTAAAAAAGTGGTCAAGTGAAATGCTACCACACATGTGGATTTCAGGGGGCTGTGAGCCCTGGAGGCAAAATCTTTAAAGGATCCAGCTGCCACCCAGATGGTTGCTTCTTAGAATCCTCCAGTCACTCCCTGGAGGCAGTGTGCTTCTGTAAAGATTTAATCTTGGAAACCCAGTCGATATTTCTATGATGATGGTTGGTCGATATTGGCTGAGCAGGAGTTCACTCCCCATTGGCTGAACTCTTTGTTCCAAGCCACCTCATTGGTAACACTACGAATGGACTGTCCTGGAGTTAGGTCCCAGAAAAGCTAAGAGCATAATATTGGAATGCAACTCAGAAGTGAATCTTGTTAGGATTAAAGGTAATGCAGTCCTGGTATGTAGATTTTTGTTATCTACTTGGATGGATTGCAAAGAAATTGTTTTGTTTGAAACTCAGTTTTGCTTGCTTAGTCTTGGATTAGGAGCTGAGCTTGGGGCAGTTTGAAATTGCACTGCAAGCCCTTGAGCAACTTCATGTGCTGTATCAATGTATGATAGTAAATTAAATTAGTTTTTAATTTTAATTTAATTCCTGCACTGTCTTTTGAAATCTTCTGTTTAGCTCCGTAATTTCTTTTTCCCTTTGTTTTGACTTCCTATTGTTCTTTAATTTTAATTTAATTTAAATTTAATTCAGTACAACATCTAGTAAAAGATACTCTGTTGGTAAGTGGAGTGAGGCTTTGTCTGGCCCAGAGCAACCATGCTAGGAAAAGATGCTCCCTAAAACTCTGTATGCGGCTCCTACTCCGCCAGTTTCCCTCCAACCCCGCCTCCCGGCATTCCGACAGGTCTTGGCCCCGCCCCCTGGCTCGGGCGTGCGCGCCTGGCCCCGCCCCCTGTGCAATCCGGGGCGGCCCGCCCACTTTTGCTCCCGGCCGCCAGCTGAGGGCCCAAGCGTGCGCGCCCCCGTCGCAGCCTGGTTCGGCGTCGGGCGCGCGCTTTGTGTGCCGCTGCCGCCATGTTGTTGTAGTTGTGATAAGGCGGTGGCGGGCGGCGGAGCAGCCGGACGGAACCCTCCAGCGGCCCAGGCGCTGCCCCCCGCCGTCTTTGGCGGGGAGTCTCTTGCGGGGTGGCGTAGGAGGCCGTGCTGGGGTTGGCCTGGCCATGTCCTACCGCTCGGTAAGAAGCCCACCCCTCCTCGTCTGTTCGGGAGGTGAGGTGGAATCGGAGGTGGGGCCGGCTGGGTGCTGTCAGCGTCCTGAGGAGGCAGCGGCCCGCGGGGGCGTCCGGGCGGGTGCAGAG